AATAAGGCATCAAATTAACTGCGTTGACTGACCTCCAAGAAACAATAAGGTGAGCAAAAGTGACCTTCAAAGTCTTACTACCCTTTTGAGATGATTACACTTGTTTCATTCTCATTATTGTTTATACACGACTTTTTTCTACTATTACATATTTGATTTTTTTATAGGTTTACTTGAGATAATTAAAAATAATCTTTTTATTTTGATAAGATAGGAATAAAGATGTATATGACTCTATTTTTCTCAAATTTATCTTATACAATTACATGAAATATGAAGTTGTTTTTTTTCATGAAATAATCCTTAATTTCTTTTTCATGGATGTTCATTCCCTGGAACCAAACTCAAATATTATTAATGATGTTGGTTTGCTTCGAATATGAATTGACACAATCATTAAATAAATGATTATTGATATTGTGATTTTATCATTTTACCCTTATTAAATAAAAATTTAAAATTTAAAAAAAAAATATTTTTTTAAAAATAATTAATTGATAGTAAATAGATAAAAAAATAATTCTTTCTTAATTTATCAAAATAAAAAAATTATTAAAAAAATGGAACAAGCAATTAGGGATGATGAAATTCTAAACAATATTTGATTAAATAGGGATATAAGACGAAAGTCTTACTAATTTGAAAAGTCAAAGTTTAGATTTGGACTTATCTAATTTGAAGTTAAGTTTTGCTAAAATCGATAATTCTAGATTCATTCAAATCTTCATAAATAAGGTTTGAATTTATTTTTTTTGACAATTTAAATTTCTTCCTGCGTGTCCAGAAATTTTAAAGATTATTATTATTTTTTGGTAGAAAAGGAAAATTATATTTATTTTTATTATAGAAGTTGCATCCATACAATGGGATTGGCCCTGGCGATATTACTTCTATGCAACGTAATTGTTCAAATCATGTAAACCAATAACAAAATAAATTACAATATGACGTATCAAATCTAATAAAAGAAATTTGTTCTCTTATCAAATGGCTAACAATTGTTCATCTGAATAACCTGCTGATATTCTAACTAAACTAAGAGTCTGAGTAGACATCAACATTTTCATCTTATATTCAAGCTAGAAATAAAAAACATTTTCGTATCACCAAACTTGAAGCTAAGGAGGCTATTAGAGGTTATAACAAAGAATTGCAAATAGTTGAGTGGAGATTGCTGTTAGTCATTAACTTGATTAATTACACGTGAAAGTTAGTTAGGCTGTTAAGAATATTTAAGAAGATCGCTTTCGCGTAAATAAGTCAATTAATACATATACATATATATATATATATAAAAGATGATCCATCTAAAGTTAGTTAGAGAATATGCAGTGTAAAATCATGTACATCTTTAAGGTGTTGATATGAAATAGAGATCTATCTTTCGACTATGATTCGATTCTAGTTATGTGATTAGGATTCAATTCTTAACATACAGTACTACTCCCTAATTTTCACGGGGTACTTGTATTATGATCTTCTTTTGTTATTTGCTTTTAATAATTAGGACTCGGTTGGATTATTATTATTTTTTTGCCGTTCATGCGATATTGGAGTTTGGAGTTAAAAGAGTAAAAAAAATTGTCAAAAATTTCAAAAGGGCATATCAATTTTTTTAAAATCAAATGACAAAATCGCTCAAGTAGTAGCGATTTTGTCCGCCGAAAAAAGCAAAATCACTGCAAGTGCAGCGATTTCTTAAATTTTTTAATTTTTTTTTAAACAAGTCGCTCCAAGAGGAGCAATTTTCAAACATTAATTTTTTTTAATCATTTTTTTTAGTAAGTCGATGCAAAGGCAACAATTACGTTTTTTTTTGCTTTATTTAAAAAGAAAAAAATTAAAATCAAATCGCTGATTTTAAAAAAATGTGATTTGATTTTAATTTTCTTTTTAAATAAAGCAAAAAAATATTAACGCTTTGCAGCTACTTATTAAAAAAATGATTAAATTTTTTTTTAATTTTGAAAATCGCTACTCTTGGAGCGACTTGTTCAAATTTTTTTTCTTCAGAAAAAAGTAAATTTAAGAAATCACTACTATTACGGCGATTTGGTTTTTCCGGCAAACAAAATTGCTACTTCGTGAGTTATTTTACTGTTTTGGTATTAATATATCTTTTTAAAATTTTTAATAATTTTTTTATCCTTTTAACTTCGAACTCTCCAGTATTGTGTTCTTGACTAAGAGAACAAAAGAAAAGAAAAAAGAAACATGACTTGATCAAAATTTCTAGAGAATCAATAGAAAATTGTAGAAATCAATAAGAGATCATTAGAAGATATACTGACTTTTGAGTAATTTATTTTCCTTCATACCTACTTAATATTGACAGGCCAAATTAATAGGTAGGTAGTAAAATAATGAAAAGTTATCAAGGTTTTATATTGATGGACAGACCTTTTAGCCTGATTTTTAAATTAATACGTAAAACTTAAATTGTCACAAATCTTAGCCGATCGCGATAATTCAGCTACAAAATCATGGTGTATCGCGATAATTAATTCTGGAAAATTTTTGTCTACACATTTTTTTTAAAACAATAATCCAAATCAACTCCATATTAGATATTTAACATTCTAATGTCAATCTATTTGATTTTTAATAGTTAAATTTATTTAGCCATTCAAAAAATCAATAAACCTAGTTTTTCTTGTTTAAAATCAAGCTCCATATTTTCAAAACCAAATAAACTCAAACCAACCACAAATGAAAAATTAACTTTCTACGGCGCGTATAAAGAAAATTAAGGAGGAGGAAGAGAATCACAAGTTTGCTTAACCAAACGAAAATTTCTTTTTCACAAAAATGATTGCTGCAAGATAACTTCAACCAAACCTGACTGGCAAAAAATATTTGAGAATCTATGGAGAAACGCAATGTGAACGAGTTAGTGTTCATTCAAAATAAAAGAAACACAAAACTTGTAAATCTGGAAGAAAAAACATAGTAAGAAGAAAAACACAAAATTTGCTAGACAAATGTAAGAGAAATTCTTTTTTCTCTTGCTGAATGCTGATCTCCATTTCTCATCAAACTTTTTATACTACACCACTCATTACAACTAATATTCAGTATCTCATACATAGATACAATTCTGTTTCTTATCATTTTTTTTTGAAGTATTAGTTTTGATTTTCAATGGGAGGAGAGTGGGATAAGGGTAAGGGAAAGGGAAAACTCTCATCTTTATAAGAGTTGTTGAGACATTTCATATGTCTGATGGATTATCTAAGAAAAGGAGCTGGAATTAGGCGCTTTGCTGTAGCCAAGCTTCACCGAAGAAGAACAGCACTCTGGCTTCTTCTTATCATTTGATGTTCTTGCATTGCTCTGTCCAAACAAAGATTTTTCATTCGTGCTGACATCTCACAACTCTGTGATACTGAAGTACAAGTTAATGTTGAAGCTGTAGATAAAGATTCAAATGATGTTGATCTCCTTGACGCACTAAATTCACTTAACAGTACTCCTTCATTAGTACCATTCCCCACATCTTCCTTGGAATTTCCACTCATATCCATACTACGTAGTTCTAATGACTCGCCTTCGTTTTCCATGTCAAGAGATAATTCTGTGCCATTCTCTGAATTTCCCGAATGAGCTTCTTCTTCATGTCTCCGCCCTGAAATCTGCAAAACGGACATAATTATTTGTATTCATTCGTTCAAATAAGATAAATCACATACTTAAACACTGGGCTCAAAGGTGAGTAAGCTACACCTCGCTATCACATTCACTTACAAAACCAAATTGAATAAAATTAAATTTTCTCTACGACTTTTAAAGGAAATGATCATACGCTTTTAAGAATACCTGTTCAGGGAAAGATGGATCAGCAGCTGGGGCAATGACAATGCCGGCACGGCACGTGGGACAATTGGTATGTGATCTAAGCCAAGTGTCAATACAAGGTATGTGAAAAGCATGGTTACAGTTTGGCAAAATCCTAAGAGTTTCATCTTCTTGAAACTCACACAAGCAAACAGAGCAATCTGTTCCTTCAATTATTCCTTCCTCTGTTTTATACTTGCAAATCGTGATGGCACTGATGATTGATGGTTGAAGACCCACTGTTCTAATATACCATATAGGGTGATCCACCATAGGTCCATGAATATCTTCATCAACGATATCACCAAACTCTTCTTCTTCTTCTTCAACTGGTTCCTGCGGTCGTGACAAAATTCTTGCTTTGCGAATTCTGTAAACCACGAAGCAACAAAAAAGGAAGAAAGAAGTAGCCAAGACAGAAAACAGAATAATCAAGGACATAGAAATAATGGGTTTATGTGGAGACTGAGAAACAGGAACTTTGGGGGTGAAAAAGTTTGGTGGCAATGGTGGTTCGATTTCAGAAAACAGGGGAAAACTACAAATTGGGTAACAAATATACATACATGAAATTGGACAAATTGGAGAAAGATTCTCTTTTGGGTTACAATAATAACTGTTACAAGTTTTACCAGTAGAATTATCAAGTGATTCAAAGATGAGCTTTCGATCATGGAACACCATGGCTGCTACTGGTTGTTTACGTGAAGAAAACAGAGCATTTTTTTTTTGTTTGCAGCCTAGTTTGTAACGAAAGTGTAAGATGGATGAAAGACATTTGTCTTGTTATTTGACTTTTAGGAAGGCTAGTAATATTAGGCGGCTGATAATGGAGGACTGATTTACCTAAGTTGCCATTTTTTCCTGCTTGTCTCACCAAACCTCAACAGGTTTATGGCAAATTGGACATTTATTACCTGCTCTAATTAAGACCTTATAGGTAGAAAATCAAAGAGGCAACTTTATATTATAGTATAATATAATATATGGAGTTAAATTTTCCCATGGTATTATTGAATTTTATACATTGTAAAATTTACTCACTTGAATAATAATGTCAAAAAATACATTTTTAAATTTGCAATCCAATTCTAAAGTAAAATTTTGAAATAAGTAATCTTTTTAAAAGGATTGATTTTTATAGTCAAATAAAGTGTATAATTATCTTTTTTTTATGTGCCCTCACATATAATGATTTACAAAAATATTTTACTATAATATTTATATTAATTCATATTTAATATTACTTGAGTTTGATGTTTTTGAGTTAACAATCTTTTGAAAATAACTTCCATATCTACTTTAAACTCTGCATAGTAGGATTATACATAATTATACTCTACTACTACTTCCTGCTCCGGCTGTGAAGAAGTTCTTGAGTTTTTGTGAATGACGAAGGAACAAAATATGTAGACAGCAATTCCTAAGCCTGTAAACAGAATTATCAAGAAGATGGAGGCAGTGTCTTTTTGTGGAGACTGCGAAAGAGGAACTTCAGTTGTGAAATCTTTTGGTAGTTCAATGTCTGGAAAAAGACAAATATTCTGGCAAATATAAAAACAGGACACTGGACAAATTCTAGAATGATACACCTCTGGGTTGCAATAATAGCAGCCACATGTTTTGCCGGTGGAATTATCAAAGATCAGCTTTCGATCAATATGAAACGACATGGCTGCAGCTAATTGTTTAACAAGAGATGAGAAGAAACATACATGATACATATAGCTGCTGGCTTGTGACTTGTTTCAAATTTTGTGTCCAAGAGAATATGGAGCATCTTACATCATGGATCCTAACGAAATTATAACATGACAATGAATGCCCTTTATTTTTTCTTCTTCAATTCTGTGGTTCTTCTTATTGGACTTTTGTGAATTCTGTATATCAGACGGCTGAGTAAGACAGATTTACAAAAGCTGCCATTGTTTTTCCTCCTTGTTCTGCCCAATCTAAGCTGGCTCATGGCAAGTTGGACATTCATTGTTCCAAGAAATTAACTACTCATATGCATTGATAGTTTAAAGCTCTTGGCATCACAGTATTTTCAATGAAATATTGCACTATTTTTCATTCCAGAGTGTACAAGCTTCACTTTAACCAATGTCAGTTATCTGAGAAGCTGACTTTCTCACACGAGTCTTAAGTCCTGTTGTTACTGGGATCACACAACAGAAGATTGCGGATCAAAGATGTTCATAAGATTATCACACACTTCAAGAGGTATTCCTTGATTTATGTTTGAATAAAATTTGATATGTATGTTGTCTATTTCACATGCAAAGTTTATGGATTTTTTGCTTCCGCTGTTTAAGTACTTCTTCCATCATGAACTTTATTTCTCTCCTTCAGACTTCAGGAGCATTCACCACATCTTCCATTGAACTTACACTGATGCCCAAAGTACTTAGATCTCCTGAATCGTCTTTTTTTCGAATGTCAATCCTTAAGTCCGTGGTATTTTCTGCACGATTTTCCTGGTCAAGTCTCAGCGCTAATTATGCAATATAGAGATGACTAAGAAAATAAAGTGTACTTTGTCTATTAACTTAGTTTTTAGATAAAATAGTCACACATTTCATTAGTATGTTATAAAGTGGCAAAGACCCTGAGTTTGAATCTCATAGCTATCCATTATAAAAAAAAACATGGAAAAGAATTATGTCTGAATATAAGCTAAGAGGCATGTTCATGTTATAAAAGTAAATAAAAGTATGTTTCTCAACAATTTAGATGATCACGCGTTTTGCTCAATGAAAGCTGCAGTGTTGGGAATTTTGATGACAATGTCGGCACGGCACATGGGACAATTGATGTGTGATTCGAGCCAAGTGTCAATGCAAGGTATGTGAAAAGCATGGTTACAGTTTGGCAAAATCCTAAGAGTTTCGTCTTCTTGAAACTCACTCAAGCAAACAGAGCACTCTGTTCCTTGAATTAGCCCTTCACCTTTTTTATACTTGTGGATTGTGATGGCGCTTATTACTGATTGCTGAAGACCCACTGTTTGAATATCACTAAACTCTTCTTCTCCTCCTCCTCCTACTTGTTGCTCCGGTTGTGAAGAAGTTCTTGAGTTGCGGAATTTGTGAATGGCGTAGGCACATAATATGTAGATAGCAATGCCCAAGACTGAAATTAGAAGGATCAAGAGGATGGAAACAGTGTGTTTATTTGGAGAATGCGAAAGAGTAACTTTTGGTGTGAAATTTGGTGGTGTTGGTGGTGGTGATGATGGTGGTGAGGGTTCGAATTCTGGAAGCAGACAAATACGCGGGCAAGTATTAAAACATTGAAGCGGACAAACTATAGAATGATACACCTGTGGGTTGCAATAATAGCTGCTACAAGTTTTGCTGGTTGGATTAACAAGAGATTCAGAGATCAGCTTTCGATCAATATGGAAGGACATGACCGCAGTTAATTGTTTAAGGACGGATGAGAAATAACGTACATATAGCTGCCTTGTTTCAAATTTTGTGTGCAAGAGCTTACAGCCTAGTTCATACGCTACGATGAATGCCTTTTGTTTTTCTTTCTTTTTCTCCTAATTTTGTTTTAGTGTATGTGTTTCTTATTGTTGGACTTTTTTTTGAAGTTTTTAGTATATTGGACGGCTGATTAGGACTGAATCACAGAAGCTGCCGCTCAAATCTCAATGTAAGCTGGCTCATGACAAATTGAAAATTCATTTTTCCAAGTTAAGTGTCACCTTAGATGTATTTTTTAATTAAATTATTTACCATCACTGTACGCAGTTTCAATAAATGGTTGGTATCTTTAGTTCATGTTGCTGAGTATTGTAATACGATTTTACTTGTCCTGATTAGTTTTAACTGTTTTCAGAAGATTTAGGAGCAATACATTTGAATTTTTGCATAAGAATGTACTTGTAGCTTCGTCACATTTTTATTGAAGATAGGCACAATAACAATATGAGGAGTTACAATATTGGTTTTAGCTTACAAGGAACAGGTTACTTGTTAGCCAATTCTTAAAGTTACTTTTAGCTTGAAGTCACGTAAAATAAGCAATTTCTTTCATTTCTTGGCGTGTTAGGATCTTCTTTCTCGCATGCTATTAACTGTTCAAATAACAGCAATTCATTCCAACTTACGTATCTGATTTCTACTCTTTAATTCCTCGCGCTTCAATTTTAGTTGGTTAACCATGTCTGCAAATTCTTCATCTTCATACAAAATCCGGAGTCTTGTTACGTTGCTTCACCAGTACTATAGAGTTCGCTTTGATGCTACATCCTCTCAGTTACATGGCATAGTTCCAACAACTAGGATCACTTGTCGTGGTTCAGCAAGTCCAGGATTACGGTTTATCAGTTCAGGAGAGTATCGAATTCCCAATAAGAAGGATCGGTAACTAATTCTTCTCTACTCATTTTTTTGTTTAGAGATAAGCAGAAAATATAACCTTGGTTCTTGATTGCATCTGTAAGGGTAAAAAATGAAGCAAGCAAGGTTCCTCCGGTTGAGCCACCTCCTTCTAAGCCCAATTTATTTGTTTGGTATGCAATTATTAATTATTGTCATCTTTTTTTCCCTTTCCAATTATTGTGATTGATCATATGAATTTTGATCTAGTGTACTATTACAGGGCAAAATGTCTTTTGGGATCCATACTTTCAATATTCCTCCCATTTTGGAAGGAAAATTGGGATAGCATTCGAAGAATTGAAGGTATGATTTTTTCTAATTTAAATGAATATTGAATAGTCTTTTTAGACGAGTTAGATGTGAAATTAGGTGTTAGGTCTAAACTCACACCCTAAAAACTAGCTCAGAGGGATTGTGGATTATTCAATCCTTATAAGGAGTCCACCCATCTCATTAACAATCGATGTGAGATTTTTGTCATTTTTTAACACCAACATCGGGTGGATTCTGCTCTGATACCATGTGAAATTAGATTTTAGGTTTAACTCACAGCCTAAAAGCTAGCTCAAAGAGAGCAGAATTGCCCAACTCTTAAAAAGAGTTCACACAAAGATCTGCTCTGATACCATGTCATTCTTTAACAATAGATCACATACTTCAACACGTCTAACATAAATGCTACAAGAATAGGCTGAAGTGATAAAAAAATCTTCATTGATGTTTATTCAGGAAAGGTAGAGAAGGTGGCGGAAGAGGTGGAAGAAGCAGCGGAGGTAGTAGCGATGGTGGCGAATAAAACGGAAAATGTAATGGCAGTGGTTGCCGTTAAGCTGCCTGAAAATAGTTTACTCAAAGAAGCAGCTGTAGCAATTGAAAATGCATCTGCTGTGGTTGCTAAAGATGCTCAATTTACTTGTAATTTCATTCACAAGGTTTGCAAACCAAATTGTTTTGTATCTATATCTAATATAATATCATATGTCGTAAAAATCGTTGTCTTATTTTTTATTAATTATAATTATTTTCAGCTGGTTTAGTCTCTCTAATATGACAAATATAATGGGTTCACAGGTTGAAGATGTGAAGCAAGACTTGAAGGACTTGGAGAAAATGGTTGAACCTTTTACTGAAAAAGTGGAAGAACACAAATGAAGCAATAAAATAGTACTAGTAGTAAATGTACATATTTTTATTTATTTATATTTATTAGTGCCTCAAATATCATAAAAAAAGAGGCCTTATATGAGACAATTCAGAATAAAAGAGGTAAAACCTACTTTCATATCATGATCAACATTTGGATAAGCCATTATCATGATTTTATATTGCAAAATTTTAAAAAACATGATTAAAAATTTTCAATTATTTAAAATATAAAATTTAACCCATAAGTTCATATTTTCTAAAAAGACAAAATTCTATTATTTTAAATTTTGTAAAAAATAATTCATGTAAAGAGATTGTCCATTCCATATAATAAGAGTTATCTTTTTTTTAGTCTTTTATATATATATATATATATATATATATATATATATATATATA